GTGGCTGCCAGGAACCTTGTTTAAGCCAACAGCAAAGCACTCGGAGTCAAAGAAAGGGAAAAGTTGCCACAACTTGGCATAACGTGTTGGCCTGAAACTAGATCACCCCAAAGTCAGGGCCTGGGGGAGAACCTAGGAAGCTGTTCCTACTATAGCAGTTTGCCAAGGCTGCCGTGACAAGGACCACAGACTGGGTGGCTTAAACAACAGAAACATATTGTCTCACAGTTCTGGAGGCCAGAAGTCCAAAATTGAGGGATCGGCAGGGTTGATTCCTTTTGAGGGCTTTGAGGGAAGGATCTGTTCCAGACCTCTCTCCTTGGCTTGTGGATGGCCACTTCTTCCTGTGTCTCTTCACGTCTTCTTCCCTCTCTATGTGTTACTGTATCCCAATTTCCCCTTTTTATAAGGACATCAGTAATACTGGATTAGGGCCCACCCTAATGACCTCATTTAAACTTGATTATCTCTGTAAAGACACTTTCTCCAAATAAGGCCACATTCTGTGATACTGGGGGTTAGGATTTCAATGTATGAATTTGAGGGGGGACACAATTCAACCCATAATGCCTGCCTTCCACCCACCCATTGCCTCAACCCTTTTTGACTTATTGAATCAGATGAAAATAGGGAAGCACAGGGCCACATCATCTTCTGAAGAAATTATGTGGGAGTCTGGGATTAGGGGTGGACAAGATAGGAACATGAACGGGAGAAAGACACCCAAGAGTGAGAAAGGAGGGTTGAACTGACAAAGAGCTAAAACCACTCTCATAGACTACCCTGGAGGTTACGCATCTGTACTCTGGTAATCTCGTAGTCCTGAGTTCATATCCTAGATCATCTACTTACTAGCAGTGGGGCCTTTTCCCTCACTTGTAAAATGTGGATCATAATAGTACCTAAATAGTGAATATTGAATGAGAGAATAGCATGGAGGGCTTGGCACAGTGCCCAGCACATTATAACTCAACAGGCAGTAGGTGCTCTGTCATTGTTATTATTACAAGTGGGGATCTAGTCCAAGGAAAATGTCAATTCAGGAAGAAGGCGATGACAAAGAAGAGGCTAACTGATGCAGGCCACATGACTCTGTGTCCTTATTAACAGTAATGAAGAGAAGGGAGCCAGAGCAATGATCAGGCCTGGGCTTCTTCAGTTGTGGCCTGTGGACCAAAGGCATTAGAATCACCTGTAGCCCCACCCAGGAAACGCAGAATCCTGGGTCCCTCAGGAACCCGGCTAAATCAGGACCTCTGTGGGTAGCACCCAGGAACCTGAGTTTTTAACAAGCTCTTCTGTGATTCTTATGCACATTAAAGTTTGAAAACCCCTGGACCAGACCACAGGTCCTGGAGAGACAGAGATAAGTCTTGTCCATCAGTAACCCCCACATCTACACAGCCCTGGTGCAAGGTGGGCACACCCCTCACACCTCTTCCCATCATCAGCATTCCTTGGATGAAGTCAGAGAGGTGGTCTTGAGAAATTATGCATAAAACAATTTTCTGTAAGTCATGTTTTAAATATTCTATTTAGAAGGATTGCATTTGCAAATCAAGTCTTCTACATTACTGTAAGCTTCACTGCACCCAGACACTAAGTTCTGGGTTGTCCATTCCTCCTCTCTCCACACCTGGAGTCACTCAGACTTGACCTCAGGCTTAGCTCAAGATGACCTCTGACCTTAGGTTTCAGGAGTGTAAGGTGCCCTGGCCCAGCACCCTCGCTGTGCCTCTGTGTCTGTTGTTAGGCACCATTTCTTCTCTCCTAGGGTACCATCCACTGCCTGGTTCAGGAAAACCTTGGGCCTACTTTGTCCCTGTGCCTGCATTCATGTCTTGCTCCTGAAGACCCAGTCCCAAAGGCCATCGGTGCTCAAGGCAGAGATTCTGCCATGGGCCAAGCTGGGGTCCTGCTATCTCTTGCCAGAGCTTCCAAATCCTGGCCTACTTTCTAGAGTCTTCAAATATCACCTGTTGCTGAATTCCTGTCACCAAACTCCACCTGCCTCTCCGGACACCTCCAGTGATCCCACAAAACACAGACAGCATGCCGGTTAGGAGCACAGCCTCGGTGTGAAGCTTGGCTCTGCCACTTGGTAACTGTGTGACCTTAGGCAAATGGCCCAGCGCACCCCCAGCAGCTGTGACAGCCCCTACTTCACAGGGATGTTATGAGAATTCAGCGAGGTCACGCATGAAAGCCAAGCACAGTGCCTGGCACACAGTCAGGGCTCAAGAAACACTGGTGACCAGCACAGAAGCTCTTCTATTTCTGAATGCTCAGAGATGCAAGCAAGAGTCCATACCAAAACAAAAGGCCCCCCATGCATGCTGTCCAAAAGGTGGCCCTAGTGGTCACTCATAGCGTGTCACTTTGGATTTTAGAACAAATGGATTTGTGGGCAGCCTTTTCAGAACTCACCTTTCAATAACAATAATAATAATAATAACAGCAAATACTCACATAGTACTCAGGCACTCATATAAACCAGGCACTGTGCTAAGAGCGTTACTCATTTGATCCCCTCAATAACAAGGTTGGTACTTTATTACCCTGTCTTACAGATGAGGAAATTGAGACACAAGGTCACAGGACTAATTTGAACCCCAGATTCTGCCCGGCTGCAGGATCTATGCACTTAGCCACTATGTTATGCTGCCTTCGTTAAGTAGTGAAATTTAGGAATCAAAATAATTACTCTTCCCTCCCTCCCTCTCCTCTCCCTGTAGGCTGCTGGCCCAGATGCACATCCTGTTCCTATACCTTGGACTCCTTCCCCTCCCAGCTGAGTTGAGCATCTTGTCAGCCCAGGCCCATCTGTGACCTGCCCACCCAGGTAGGTGCCCACCTTTCTCTGTGGTTGAGTGGGCTGGATCCAGTTACATCTTGAGATGGGACACCTTGTTAGTACTCGATGAACATTTGTTGATTAGTGAATCCTTTCTTAAGGAAAAATACTCATTCACCTATAACTTATGTGTTGTGTATAGGTGTTAGATTTTCCTAAAACAAGGTATGTCTTTTGCACAAATGAATACAGGTTATTTTTCCAGTAGCCTAAATCAAGGAGTATTGCATTAGCCAAGCACTGCCTGTTTGATGAGGTGGAAAGGGTGTGCCTTCCACTCTGCACCATCTCCTGACTCCTGGAAGCCAGCACAGCGAGGCGGGCAGCTCCATGATCCTTCCTAGTTTACTCAGGGTCCACAGAATGCATGTCAGCAATGTGAGTCAGCACACTCTCTGTCTTGGGATCAGGCATCCCTTCACTAGGCGTAGACGGAATATAAGGATGTCCATCCACCATCAACACTGGAAATATTATCACTGTGGTGGTGCCACTGGGCTGTAAAGTCAAACCACTTAATCAAGTGGATCCTGCTTCTTTAAATCCTTTTGGGAACCAGCAAGCCAGATACGTACATGTGCACCCCAGATTTGGAAGGAACGTTACCGGTAACTCAGTGTTTTGTCACTTAATTTTTTGTGTATTAACGTTGCTTTTGATTAAGTACTTCACTTGCAAATCCATGTATGCATATGAAAAAAGGCAGGGTCAACAGAAGAAAGTCTGCCAGCAGCCCTCAGCAGCGGATTTGTGACCTTCCCTTCAGATATACAATCTCAAAAGGGGAATTTCCTCAGAAGCCCTCAGTGACCAACACAAAGAAAACAAAGGAAAAGGCAATTTGTGGCTGTGAATCACAGTCTGCACCAGTATCCACACTCGTTCACAGAGACAGCCCCAGTAAACAGCTGGCCAGCCCTTTGCCAGACACCACTTTGCAAAACCAGGCCCATTTCTTTTCAACCCTTGGCCGCCATCGGGCTGGCTCATCCTTACACAGGGCCTGGCTCCCGCTCTGCCGGGATGTTTGCATCCTCCCACGGGTGTTTGCAGAGCTAAACCATAAACAATTGCATCCCTGTTGCAAATGAAAGGGAAAGTGCCAGTCACCAAAGCAGAAAGAAAGGCAGAAAAGTAGGGGTGGATTTAAACAGCTAGAGAAAGCACAGTGTTTGTATTCTGCTGAGGCACAGAGGGAGCTCTTGGACCTGAGAGGCAAGATAAGGCGGGCTCCTCTTGGGTCTCTGAAAAATAGGGACGTGATTAAATGCCTAAAATTCCCACTCAGCACCTGGAGGTCTGAATTTTTCAAGCGCTCTTGTCTAGAAGCCTTGCATACTTCAGGCATGTAATAGTAATGTGGGTGTGGCTAGCATAAATGCCAGAGAATGGGCCCAGTTGCTAGCCATTCCCGCTTCTTCTCTGCCCGTCCCTCTCTGGAGGGGCACTGAAATGAGGATGTGATTTTCAAAGAAGATCAGAAGGGAAGGTAAGAAGTAATCCAGGTGACCAGTGGGACCATCAGAATACACTTAGATAATCCTGTATTTCAGCCCAACTTCTCTATCAAAAGGTTGATAACGTAAGGTGCCCATCCAGTGGATGGGCTTTCCAAGGCAGCTGAATTTCCAGGCTACTCAGGAGGGTGATGTGACACAGCAGCCAGACTCATCAGGCTGCAGCTTTTGGCTTCTGCCGAACCACAAGGGCCGCATCCAGCACTTTAGTAAATGAGAACATTCCGCCTCCTCCAGTCCTCGTGGCTTGGCAGTGGGGGAATGAAGATAATGGGGCAGCAGGGTGCATGATTATTTTTACAGTCACTGAACTCTAGGTGCTATTTTTACATACCTATGCCATCAGCAAGCACTCTCCCCGGAGCAGTCTGCACCACCGTTTAAACCCACAGAGGTGAGCTTCTGAGTGTTCACTTGCGGGAGAGCTGGCTCCGGTGGTATCTGCTTAAAACATCTTACTGCCTTAACTTTTCCCAATTTTCTTTCCTCTCCAAGCAGCCTTATACTTGTACTTGGATACACACACACGCGTGCGCGCATGCACACACACACACACAAACACACACACCAGTTCTGACTATAACCTGCTCTCTGTTCCCCAGAACAGATATTCTGATTCTTACCTGAAGAGCTTGCAGGCTGAGGGCTGTGACTCTCCGTCCGAGGGGAAAGGGAATCCACTGGGTGTCGTCTGCACTGTGTTTGTCACTGTCACTGTGCTGCAGCTGCTTCCCAAGCAGCCCCAAGCCGGCTCTCTGAACCTCTCGGTTACTGCAGCTCTGTGTGGGGAGAGGGGACGGGCCGTGGCATGCACATCAGGTTGCTGGGCCGCCTCCAGACACCATGCCACAGCGCCGGCTACCCATCCCGCGGGGCTATGTTGGAAGCGGGAGGCAGCCTGGGGAGCTGAGAATGTCAGCCTCCAGGTCTCTCTCTGGCCTTGTTTTTCAGCAGAGGGGACCTGCCTTTAGACAATCACCCTCACCGACCCCACCCACCAGGATGTACACAGAGCTCTAAATGCCCCCGACTCTGGACAGCCAGCAGCAAGCCCAGAGCTATTGGCCAGCGGGGAAGAGAGACAGAGACAGCAGACAGCGGCAGCAGCTACCCTGGGTGTTATTTTAGCGTGGTTTGTCTTGGGGCAAATGGCTAAGCCGAATGGACTACTGGCCCGTCTGAGCAGAATCCTGTTTATTTTGAGGCCCCAGTCACCAGGGCAACGGCAGGTCGTGGCTCAGAGACGCTCCTCTGGAATCAGAAGGCTGCTGGATGAAAGGGAGTCCTTTTCTGTTCTGTCATTTGGCATCCCTGCACAGGGGTCTGTGTGTGTGTGTGTGTGTGTGTGTGTGTGTCTGTCTGTCTGTCTGTCTGTGCCATTCCCAGAGCCAAGCCTTGCAGAGGGCATTTTGCAAAGCTACTCAAGGCAATGGCCATCCAGGTTAGGGCCGGGAGGGGCTGCAGAGAGAATAGTTCTGTCCTTCCTCCCCAGTGTTCAAGCCTCTCCCTGCTGAACTAGGTGAGTGAATCCTCAGGTGAGCCCAGCTTCAGGGGTGGGGATTTCTTCAATGGACCATGGGCATCATCTTTCTGCCACTGGCCAGGACAGGTAAGGAAGGGAGGAAGATGCCTGTACAAATAACTCTTTGGCTAGAAGGTGGGGAATGAAGCTGGACTGAAAGGATACAGATCAGAAGGTGTCTTTGAAGAAACCAAATGGAAACATAATTAATAGTTTCCTATAACTGATGAAGAGTTCCTCCCTGTTATGCAGCCATTTGAGGCTGGGAGGAGTGAGTGTGTGTGTGTGCAATCCTGCCCACCTGATGATTCAGGTGGAGATGTACAGATTGACCTGTCGGAACTAGAAATATACTTGCTGGTCTCTCTCTCCTCTGGGAAGGTGGAGGTGGAAACCTATTCTCCAGACTTATCACAGAGCACACAGGGAGTCATTCCTGTGCCTTCTGAAAGGATGAGTCTCCGAGAAGCTCTTCTCATCTAACACGGAACTGGAGGCTCAAACATCACATCACCCTGATAATGGACGAGCAGCGCTCTCCTAAAACGGACTTTAAAAATACATAAAAAGTGGATTTCTCCAAACTTTATTAACTAGAACCTCCATGAACTGCAACTTCCACATATTCAAAGGTACTGATCAATTGCTGTTAAAAATAATAATCTTCCTGAGTTTCTGAATGATTCCAAAGGGCCTTCTGAATCATAGAAAGATAAAAATATTTCAGACAATCATCTTCTAAATATTGGAGAATTATTATACTATATACAGTGTGCATGTTAACTCTTTTTAACTACATGGAACGATAGATTTTAAAGTTAGGAAACACCCTAAAAGTCCTGAGGACAGAGATGCGGCTCAGAGTCTCACCCAGGTTGCACCCCTAAAGTTTTCACTGTGACTAAAACTAGGTCTCCTTCCCTCAGGTTAACACCCTTGAACCTGCCCACACTGTGACATTGACCATTCCCGGGCAACTCAGCTCTTCAAGGCTCCCAATTCTCCCCCTCCTAAACGAGATTAACAAGACTCCTACCACACCTTCCCTGCAAGCTGACAGGATTATCACGGCAATCAAATGTGCCCAAGTTTGTGAAAGCGCCTTGAAACCGGCAATGCCAGTCTAAGTCATTATTTTAGTTTTATTTCTCCATGACATCCACTTGTGAAATGCTGTTAAAAGAAAAAAAACCCACACAGCTTTTAGGCAAATTATAACCCCTAGCTACTGATAGAAACTAATTTCTTTACTACATATTGAGTGTTCGGAAATGTTACTGCCCAGATACGGGGAAATAATTAATCCTCAGTTCCTTAAAGTATTTATTGTAATATAATTCCCCTTAATGCTGAAATTTTTTTGAATTTCGCTTTAACATCTATGTTTATTTCAACTTCCATGTCAAGTATCTAGATTTATCTTTTAAATAATATACATTCGGGTTTTTTGAGTCATGAGACACGATAATGTTAATGTTTTGGGCCCCACTGTTATTTAGTGTGGGAAGGACCTCAGAGGTTACCTAGTCTGAAAGTCTGGCCTGAGAATAGCCCTCCAGCTCGGGGCTGGGAAATAGTCCATGGAAATAATAGCTGTGGAAAACCCACTTATTAAGCATCCACAATAGGCTAGATCCCATACAGAATATGTAACAGAGACCCTGTCTTCCCTCAAAGCTCTTAGACCACTTTTAAAGCCATTTCTGCAGTGATTTAAATCTTGTATGCGAGCCTACTAGCACTGCAGAGGGGTGGGTCTGAGAAAGGAAGAAAATGACAGATTTGGAGGACCAACAAAATTCCTAGTAGCTGCTTGGTAGGTTTATCCAGAGAGGTGTGGCCTTGGCCAGAGTCGTCCTTGTCTAAACTGATGTGGCTGGTGCCGGAGGTGAGATTTTTCCTTCCCTGTCCTAGGAGATTGAGTCACTACTGAGCACTTCAGCGGTTGCTATTACAGGAAGTGGCTCTACACCTCTTTTAAGAGCTTCAGAAGGGCGATAAAGGTGGAACGTGGTGTTTCTGTGGTTTTACTTATTCTGTGCTTGGTACTCTGAAAATCAGACATAAAACTATCACTGTTTAACTGCACCAACATGAAAGAATCAGAGCATGACAGAATCAGCAGGATTCGAAATGCCCCCAATAAATAAATTTTCTTCCTCTCCAGGCATAACATACAAGCCCTAGCTTCTTGTCCTTGAATCTTCAGGCTGACATTCAATATTTGCTTTAAAATTTCCCCCTTCCTTCATCCTGTTTGCATAATTGATACAGTTATGTGACACGCACACCACACACACTGCATTTTCTTTCTAATCTCATTTGGCCTTGTTCGGACACAACAAATCCTAATCAGCTGACAGGAAAAATCAGATGCTGCATGCCACTCGCTCCCCCCAGCAAAGTGTTTCCTTCTGTTTATGCCCAATCATGCAATTAAATGAAGGGCACGCTGGCCTCATGGTGAACCAGCTGCCAAGATGACGGCAGGGAGCAATCTGACAAACAGGACAGAGGGAAATGCAGCAGACACTCACGGGAAATTGTATTAGTTGCCCAAGGAGACCTGACGGCCACAAAGGTCGCCAGAGCCGCAGGACAGAAAGGGGGTCCGGTGGTTCTCAAGTGGGAAGGTGCCTCACCCTGATCCCACTGTAATGCAAGAACAAGAGCTCACCCCAATTTGTCAGCCTGGCTTACTAGCGACTTCAGGGGACAATGCTTGGAAAGGGTCATACCCATGAGAGGTGGGCTTCCTCTCCCTGATATTGATCACCTATCACCTGTTCTATTTTATGTTTTCCTCCATCTCAATTTTTATTTTAAAATATTTTATCTTTAAATGAAAGTAATGCTTCATGCATATGATAAAAATGCACAATGTACAGAAAGGTATAAAATGACCCTCACTAACCCCCTCTCCCCAAAGATAACCACTCTTTTTTTTTATTGAGGTATAATTGACATAGCATTATATTAATTTCAGGTATACAATGTAATGATTCAATATTTTTGTATATATTGCAAAATGATCACCACAATAAGTCCAGTTAACGTCCATCTCTATACATAGTTACAAATTTTTTTTCTCCTAATGAGAAATTTCAAGATCCGCTCTCCTAGCTCCTTTCAATATGCAGCTACTGTACTGCATTATTTCAATATGCAATACAGTATTATTAACTATAATCACCATGCTGTATATCACATCCCCATGATTTATTCATTTTATAACTGGAAATTTGTACCTTTTGACCCCTTCACCCATTTCATTCACACCCCACTCCCCACGTTAGGCAACCACAAATCTGATCTATATATCCATGAGCTCAGTATGTGGTTTGCTAGATTTCACATATAAGCAGGATCGCACAGCATCCATCTCCCTCTGTCCCGATCATTCTACCCAGCACAACGCCCTCAAGGCCCATCCATGCCGCAGCAAACAGCAAGACTTCACTCCCCTCCACGGCCGAATACTCCATTGTATATTTATACACCATATTTTCTTTTTATCTGTTCATTCTTATTCATCCATTGATGGACACTTAGGTTGTTTCCATGTCTTGGCTATTGTAAATAATGCTGCTATGAACATGGGGGTGCAGAAATCTTTTCGAGTTAGTCAGATAACCACCCCTAAATTTTTTTTCTGGATCCTTTCAGGGAAAAAAAAGTCTTTATACACCTGAATGTGTGCGTGCTTAAAAACAATTTACTCTGTGCAGCGTCCTGCATCATTGTTTGTTTTTCACTTAATAACAGTTCTTTGCACATGGGTCTAGTCCATCCAGGCACCAATATTCCCTGCTTGGATTAGTGCAATATGCTCCTAGCTGACTTCCCTGCTTCTACCCTTACCCCCTACAGTTCATTCCAGAGAGATCCTGCTGAAAAGTAAAATAGATCATGTCCCTCTTTGCTCCAAACTGTGCAACGCCTTTCCCTTGCACTAAGAACAAAAGCTAAGCTTGCTACCACCACCTGCTTCTCCAAGTCCGTCCCTTGCGCACTCCTTGCTCACTGTGCTCCAGTCACACTTCTCCTCACACAGGCCAAGCATGGTCCCACCTCAGGGCCTTTGCACTTGCTGTTCCCTCTGCCTGAAGTGTATGCATTTATTTTCTGCCCCTCAATTCTTTGCATGGCTGGCTCTTGCTTATCATTCTGGTCTCATTTCAGACTA